TATATGTCATTTGGGTCGGGTTTAAATTTTTTTTATAAAATACGAATTTTTTGTCAAATAAATTATGATTATATTTTTTTTCAAAAAAATTTCTATATTTAAATAAATTCGGGCCGGGCCGAGTCGGGTGGACAAATAATTTTCATTTTGGGTCGGGCTTTTCGGGACAAATAAAAATTTCGGGCTAGACCGGTAACTGAAAAATTAGGCCCTGATACTGATCGCTAGTTATAAATGTCGTATTTGGGATTATCGGGATAATCTTTTTATTTTAAAATCATTTTACTAAGCGGGGGGGGGGGGCAATTTTTTAAACTTTTGAAATAATCAGATTTGACCCAGGGTAATGTATTCTAAAGAGCATTTCACGCAGTAAAACTCAGACAAGTTAGCTTAGAACTTTTTGGTAATTCTTAATTTTTAGCAATTATAAATACGAAACATAAATGATTTTATGGCGAAAAATTGTCGCATATTTATAGGGTAGTTTTAGGTAATTTTACGTAAGCCGGAGGAAATGTAACTGTTGTATCTGTCGATTTGTAATTGAAATTTAAAGAAAAAGATGGACTTTTAATGGTCTTTGTTTGATATATATATATATATATGCTTACAAATGGGTATTATAAATAAATATATATAATTTTAAATTAGGATCATAACGAAATATTGGGTTTTAATATTGTTATTGGAAAATTTAAATGTATATATATGTCGTACGGGGATTCGTAATCCGTGGGGATTCAGAATCTTTAGAAAATCCAATTTAACCGGAAATGGATTCTAAACATGTGTTAGAGTACCCAAACTGTAAATTTTAAACAATTTTGCCACGAACTTTAGAAACTACTTCTAATTTATATCAATTTTTATATGGATTTTTCTTCATATAAATAAAAAAAAAATACTTAAAATGTCTATGGCTGAAATTTTTCGAAATTTACAGTTTTGGTACTCTGTCTACAGATGCTAGAATACATTTCCGGTTCATTTCCGGTTAAATCGTACTTTAAAATTTTTTTAAATCGCCCTCGGTATAGGATTTAAAATCAAGAGACTCCGAATCCCCATACGACATATATATATATATTGAATAAGCTTGACATTTACTTTAGCTACAGGTATTTTGTTTCTAAATTTATATAATTTGCATGCTTAAATTATATTTTTTTTCCCGCCAGATTTTCCATATTTGTTTTTTAAAAAAAAAAAAAGATCCTTTATCTTAACACCCGCTCTCTCCCTACCCCCACCCCTCCACACCTTCATTTTAACCAATGACATATAATAAGACGATGCATTCTTAATAAGGTCTTTGAAAGGGTCGTTGAATGCAAATCAGCTGGACCCGCCATTTTTGTAGCCCATATAGTCAATTATTCTCATATTAAAAACCGGGGATGCGAACCCGGCAAAATATTTGCCCGGGTTCGGTTCGGGTTCGGTTCAGGGAAATATTTTTGAACCCAGGTTTGGTTTCGGGTTCAACTCGGCTGTAAGAATTTTTGAATTGATAAAATAAAGATATTCCATATTTAAAATCATAATTAACAAACTAGACATAAATTTGGTAATAAAAAATGAATTTTTTATTTTATTTATCGGCTAAATATAGTTAAAAATACATAACATATTCGTGTACAGATTTAAAAAATTTATATAGACGTATTTCTTTAAATAAAAATATCCAATATAATAATTTTTACACTTTGAGTTCACTTTTCATTTTCCTCTAATTAATAATCTTTGAGAATAAGTTAAAAATTAAAAAATATATGGCGTGAAATGTATTTAGCACTTCCAATAGGAATCTTTGAAAATAAATTTTAAAAAAAAAAAATTAAAAAAAATATTTAAGTTTTGTTTAAAAATTTATTATCACTTCACTTAAAAGAAGGTATTATGATAATATTATAAAAAAGCTCAATTAAATTATTAATATTCGTATTTTACAATTATACAAATATCTTGATATATGATTTTAAACAATACACTGGACCCGCTTGAACCCGGGTTCGTAAAAATTCCTGGGTTCGGTTCGGGTTCAGATGTTTTTATCAAAAACCCGGGTTTACTCCTCCGGGTTCGGGTTCGGGTTCGGTTCAAATCCCTGTTTAAAAGCTACTATTAAAATTGATAACTTGCTTCCAGATTTACTCGATGAATCAGACAATCCCTTTAATAAAGTTTGCGTTAGACATAAATAAATAATAAATTGGCGCCACTCGTTTAAAATTTTTTAATAATGATACGGGTAATAAAAATGGCGTCCCCAGCTGTTTTTTATTGATGAACACTTTTAATGAATGGTCAGTTGATTTTAACCCTAAAAATATAAGATCGTATTTGGGGGGGGGGGGGTAAACTAGGATATGTAAAAAAAAATGGTGGTTATATGTCATCTAAAAATAAATTTTTTGGGTATGAGACATTTTACCGAAATCGGTTTTAGGGGGCCTAACTCTTAAAATCTTTCTACAAAAAAAATTTAAAGTCTAGATAAAACTTTTTCGACCCCATAGAGAAAATCATCTAAGCCCTATATGAAAGAAGTTCTGCCCATTATCCCCCCCCCCCCACCCCCGCTGTTTAAAATTTACATTCGACATTTGCATATCCGAAATTTATAATTTATGAAACAGTAAATTTTATAAAAATTTCTTCACTATAATACTCCGTTTAAACTATTAAAATTCGATATTTACAATCAGAAATTTATCATTATAAAAAAGCTTAATTCGTAAATTTTCTCCAGTTATACCCCCGTTTAAACTATTAAAATTCGACATTTGCATATCCGAAATTTATAATTTATGAAACAGTAAATTTTAAAAAAATTTCTTCACTATAATACTCCGTTTAAACTATTAAAATTCGATATTTACAATCAGAAATTTATCATTATAAAAAAGCTTAATTCGTAAATTTTCTCCAGTTATACCCCCCGTTTAAACTATTAAAATTCGACATTTGCATATCCGAAATTTATAATTTGTGAAACAGTAAATTTAAAAAATTTTTCTTCACTATAATACTCCGTTTAAACTATTAAAATTCGATATTTACAATCAGAAATTTATCATTATAAAAAAGCTTAATTCGTAAATTTTCTCCAGTTATACCCCCGTTTAAACTATTAAAATTCGACATTTGCATATCCGAAATTTATAATTTGTGAAACAGTAAATTTTAAAAAAATTTCTTCACTATAATACTCCGTTTAAACTATTAAAATTCGATATTTACAATCAGAAATTTATCATTATAAAAAAGCTTAATTCGTAAATTTTCTCCAGTTATACCCACGTTTAAACTATTAAAATTCGACATTTGCATATCCGAAATTTATAATTTGTGAAACAGTAAATTTTAAAAAAATTTCTTCACTATAATACTCCGTTTAAACTATTAAAATTCGATATTTACAATCAGAAATTTATCATTATAAAAAAGCTTAATTCGTAAATTTTCTCCAGTTATACCCACGTTTAAACTATTAAAATTCGACATTTGCATATCCGAAATTTATAATTTGTGAAACAGTAAATTTAAAAAATTTTTCTTCACTATAATACTCCGTTTAAACTATTAAAATTCGATATTTACAATCAGAAATTTATCATTATAAAAAAGCTTAATTCGTAAATTTTCTCCAGTTATACCCACGTTTAAACTATTAAAATTCGACATTTGCATATCCGAAATTTATAATTTGTGAAACAGTAAATTTTAAAAAAATTTCTTCACTATAATACCGTTTAAACTATTAAAATTCGATATTTACAATCAGAAATTTATCATTATAAAAAAGCTTAATTCGTAAATTTTCTCCAGTTATACCCCCGTTTAAACTATTAAAATTCGACATTTGCATATCCGAAATTTATAATTTGTGAAACAGTAAATTTTAAAAAAATTTCTTCACTATAATACCGTTTAAACTATTAAAATTCGATATTTACAATCAGAAATTTATCATTATAAAAAAGCTTAATTCGTAAATTTTCTCCAGTTATACCCACGTTTAAACTATTAAAATTCGACATTTGCATATCCGAAATTTATAATTTGTGAAACAGTAAATTTTAAAAAAATTTCTTCACTATAATACTCCGTTTAAACTATTAAAATTCGATATTTACAATCAGAAATTTATCATTATAAAAAAGCTTAATTCGTAAATTTTCTCCAGTTATACCCCCGTTTAAACTATTAAAATTCGACATTTGCATATCCGAAATTTATAATTTGTGAAACAGTAAATTTAAAAAATTTTTCTTCACTATAATACTCCGTTTAAACTATTAAAATTCGATATTTACATCAGAAATTTATCATTATAAAAAAGCTTAATTCGTAAATTTTCTCCAGTTATACCCCCGTTTAAACTATTAAAATTCGACATTTGCATATCCGAAATTTATAATTATGAAACAGTAAATTTTAAAAAAATTTCTTCACTATAATACTCCGTTTAAACTATTAAAATTCGATATTTACAATCAGAAATTTATCATTATAAAAAAGCTTAATTCGTAAATTTTCTCCAGTTATACCCCCGTTTAAACTATTAAAATTCGACATTTGCATATCCGAAATTTATAATTATGAAAAAAATTTTCTTCACTATAATACTTTAAAAAATTCGATATTTACATCAGAAATTTATCATTATAAAAAAGCTTGAATTGTAAATTTTCTCCAGTTATACCCCGTTTAAACTATTAAAATTCGACATTTACATATCCTAAATTTTTAATTATAAAAGCTTAATTTGTAAGTTTTCTCCACTATTCACAGTTTAAACTATTTACATTCGACATTTACATATATCGGAATTTTTAATTATAAACACTTTAATTTTTAAAATTATATCCATTAAACCCCCGTTTACACTTATTAAAATTTTATCATTTACATGGAAATTTGTAATTTATAAAACGCTTAATTTTTAAATTTTCTAAAAAACAATAAATTTTTATTTGCACAATAATAATTACCTGTATATTTTGATGTGCGAATAAATAGAATGACTGTTAATATTAGGCAGGGTGAAATACGATTGAATAGATGAAGCGGGGAAACAAATTTGGTGATTTGACGGTGAACCGAAGGTTTGGCGGGAAAACGTCGTTTTGTGGGGTGGTCAGCCGATCGGAGGGGGCCATCTTTACAGTCGTTTTTTTCACTTTTTAGGGTTATAACCGGGTTAAGTGCCCCCCTCGGGGCATTTAGAGTTTTAGGTGTTTTGCCATCGATATTTCGGGTATTTAACGACGGGCGATGTCGGATTCTTTCGATTGCTTCCATAATTGCGAAAAATGGAGGGGAAAAATTATGATAATTGTCTTCTTAGTTTTTGTCGCTTTTATATCTATATTAATCTAACAAAAAATTTTTTTTTTATAAATTATTTAATTATTTGTAATTATAAAATTATAAAAATTTATAAAAATTAGGAGGTTAATTGGGAAAATATAATAAAATAATTGAAAACCAAAAAAAAAAAAACTAATTAGAAAACATATGATGATTTTACGATATTTATTTTTCTCTATTTTTAAAGGTTATATTTTAATTATTATTTTTTCTTATATATATATATTAAAAAAAACAACAAATTGGAAAATTCGCTAAAATTAGATTATTTTATTTTTGTTCGAGATTTCGCACCCTGCCTTTATAGATGTCGAGTAAATTATTTCTGGTCAGGGGTGTTCAAATTAGACAAGTTTTCTTCTTTTTTTTACGAATCTTTATATATTTTTTAAAAAATATTGATTCGATTTTTTTAAAATAATTTTTCAAGAATTTCAATAACGGTTTTTTCTAATAATAATAATAATAATTAACTAACCTAACCTAACCCTACAAGAGTGGTTTTCAAATATTTTATATATAATATATTTGTTTTTTAAAAAAAAAATTTTTTTCTTAAAAAAATATGATTTTTATTTACTCAGTTTGATTGAATAAAATAATATTTTTTGTTAAAAAATGAAAATCTAATTTATAAATGGAGTGGAGAGAGGGGGGGGGATCAATGATCTTCTAAGGAATTGAGAGAATATTATTTTCAATTTATTTTTTAATTTTTCAATTCCTTCTATATTTACTATTTTATTTTATTTAAAAATTTGACATTTGTTTTTTTTTGTTTTTTTTTATAAAGTTTCAAATTAAATCCACGTGAGAAAATAAGAACTTTTTTTAAAAAAAAATAGTATATAAATTTAAAAAACAAATGATCATTTGTGACAAAAAAAAATAGAAAAATATTGTCACAAATCTTTGTCAATTCAATTCCCAATTCCCAATCACTCTAAATCTTCCTCCCCCCCCCCCAAATATAAATCGATTTCTTTATATAGATAATATTCCTTTATTTTTATTAAATTTTTTCACAAATTCAGGAAACATAAAAATAGATATAAATATTTTATCGGGGTTACCTTTACATTTTACTCCCCCAAAAAAATATATACATAAAAAATAATTTATGGATGAGAAATTAACCCAAATTAAGGGAAATATCATAAAAAAAATACTAATTGAAAATAAAATAATTTTTTTTTTATAGTTTAAAATCAATAATTAACACCATTTTGACAATTTTAAATATGATATTATGTTGGTGGGTTAGGGTTATTTAAAGGTTTGGAGGGAAAGAAAGTCACGTGATTATAGATAGATCGAATTAAAATTCAAATAAATCAGCTGTTGTAAAGGTCATTTGAGAATAACCCAAATTAGGGGAATAACTGTAAAAAATACTAATTGAAAAATAAAAAAAATTTCTAAAGTTAAAATCAATATTTAACACCATTTTGACACAAGAAAAATATGATATTAATATGTTAACAGATTTTTATTATTTTTACATTTTGCACCTTTAAATTAAATTTTCTTAAAAAAGTTTAATACGAGTCTTATGATAAATAGCTCAACATTCATGGAAATTTTTCTTGAAACCAATGTAAGTGAGGGTTAGGAAGATATTAGGGTCAGGGTTATTTAAAGGTTTTGAGTGATATGATTAGGGTTCAAGATGAATTGAAATGTCAAATCTTGAAAGTCACGTGATTATAGTTAGATCGAATTGAAATTTAAATAAGAATAACCCAAATTAGGGGAATAACTATAAAAATACTAATTGAAAGAGAGAGAAGAAAAGAAAAGAGAAGAGAAGAATTTTTTTTTTAGTTACAATCAATATTTAACACCATTTTGACAAAAATATAATATTAACATGTTAATAGATTTTTATTATTTTTACATTTTGCATCTTTAGTTTTATTTCCTTCGAGTCATATGGTAAATAGCTCAACACTCATGGAAATTTTTATTGAAACCAATGTAAGTGAGGGTTAGGAGGATATTAGGGTTAGGGTTATTTAAAGGTTTTGAGTCATATGATTATGGTTCAAGATGAATTAAAATGTCAAATTTTGAAAGTCACGTGATTATTAGATCGAATTGAAATAATTCAGCTGTTGGGCCGTTTCCTTGAGTTGGACCATAATCGAACCAAACGTCAGCCCCCTATTTTTTGGGGGGCCCGAATCGATCCGATAAAAATGCAAAAAATGTATAGTTACTCATAATTGTAGGTGTCCGATCTGAGTGAGAATATTTCGAATCAAGGTCCGTCTCGACAGAGTCCGCGATATTCTATCCGATAAGCCTCCCTAGCCAATGGCGGTTAAGACCCCCCTCCCTCGAAAATGTTACCTCTATAGCCCCTTTACCCCTCCTGATCTATAATTTCATAGCAATTCAAAATTAACGGAAAAAGAAAGTCTCAAAATCAAAACTACCCACCCACCTACCTACCATCCTCCAAATTGATACATTTTGAGTTATAACCCCCCCCCCCCCCCCAAAAAACGAATTAAAATTTACCGCGTATGAAACCGACCAGGTCGGTGCAGGCAATAAGTATAAAAAGCAAAACCCATATGAATAATTATGTTTATATATATTGTAAGTTAAAGAAGGCTAAGGATTAATAGTTGAATAATTGTCTTATTTTTTTTAGCCACTATCATTTCCGCTTCAGGGGGGGGGGATTCTGAACTTCGAAGAAAACTTCAAATAAATTAACTGATTCCCTGAACGCATTATCGTTTTTTACGCACGTGCTTGTAGATTAAGCAGAATTCACCGCCTTAGAACAATTAACCTACAACCAGGAATAAACGATCGTTTAAAATAGTTCGTTCGTTCGTTCGTTCGTTCGTTCGTTCGTTCGTTCGTTCGTTCCTTCCTTCCTTCCTTCCTTCCTTCCTTCCTTCCTTCCTTCCTTCCTTCCTTCCTTCCTTCCTTCCTTCCTTCCTTCCTTCCTTCCTTCCTTCCTTCCTTCCTTCCTTCCTTCCTTCCTTCCTTCCTTCCTTCCTTCCTTCCTTCCTTCCTTCCTTCCTTCCTTCCTTCCTTCCTTCCTTCCTTCCTTCCTTCCTTCCTTCCTTCCTTCCTTCCTTCCTTCCTTCCTTCCTTCCTTCCTTCCTTCCTTCCTTCCTTCCTTCCTTCCTTCCTTCCTTCCTTCCTTCCTTCCTTCCTTCCTTCCTTCCTTCCTTCCTTCCTTCCTTCCTTCCTTCCTTCCTTCCTTCCTTCCTTCCTTCCTTCCTTCCTTCCTTCCTTCCTTCCTTCCTTCCTTCCTAATATCATTTGATTTAATTGAAGATGGGAAGAAGAAAAAAAAATTATTTATTTATTTTTTTTATACCGTGAATATTTAATAATATCTTTTTTTAAATAAATTGACCCTGTCCTCATTATAATTTTTTTTTTATCGATAAAATTGATTAATAAATTTTTTTTTAAAAAAATAATTTTTTGACAAAAAAAAATAAGATAAGGCAACCCCACGACCTCTTTTTTAGCCTAAATCTGTGTCAGCAGTTTTGATTCAAGAGAATCCAGTGTGAATCGGTAGATCTCTTACATATAAAAAATTTTTTTGCCGGAAGTGGGGAAAAAAAATTGACAGATATGTCTATTCCCGGGTATATCGACCCATTTTGATGATTCCATAACGATTTGGACCAATTACATTATAGAGGAAGTAGAAATCAAAAATCAACATTTAAAATGTCGATATATATTTTTTTTTCGGAATGTGATCCTTGTCAAATATTTTTTTAATTTGCAAAATCAGATAAAAAAAAATTATGTATGTGAAATACATTTGATAGGGTTTGTAGAAATATAGAATAAAATTGAAGGACAGATGCATATTTTGATAAAATAAACCATGTCAGAATTATAAATATTTGGCACGACTAAATTTTCTCTAGACCAATTCCCAATGACGCGAATTCCACGCACCCCCACCCACCAGTCCCCCGATGACTAAAATATATGCTAACCTAAAAGAAGGTATCCTTAACCCAATGGCATATAATAATAATAATACCTAAACTTGAAAAGCATCTCGGAATGCAAATCAGCTGGACCCGCCATTTTAGTAATCCGTGTAGTAATTATTCTAATGTTAAAAACTACGCATCAAATTGATAACTTGCTTTCCAGAGTAACTCGATAATCAGGCAATTCCTTTATTAAAAGTTTGCGGCGTCTAACATAGGAATAAATTTAACCAAAAAATGGCGTCCCCAGCTGTTCTTCATCCAATGTACACTTTTAAAGTCAGTCTAGGCATTTATGTCATTGACCCCACCCCCGTCCACTGCCGCAGCCGACAATATGTAAATCGTATAACCGTGTTTACGAAATGGATTATTTGTCAGTTAACCCGAACCCGGGTATGAACAACTCTTCGAACCCGGGGTAAAACGGACCTCTGACGGGTTCGGACCTCTCTATCAACTTCCTGTTATCTCAAAATTTCCGCTTAAATAGAGTTTATAATTCCTGATTAAAACAAAGGGAAAAAAATTAATGAGGGGATAATATATAATAAAAGTATTTTGACTTTTAGAAAGAAAGAAAGAAAGAAAGAAAGAAAGAAAGAAAGAAAGAAAGAAAGAAAGAAAGAAAGAAAATTTTTTTTCCTTCGCTTATTTGCTTAAATGAAAATGCGTTTTTTTTCTTTCTTTTCTATCTTAGTAAATATACTACACTTTTTTATTAACAAAACTTACACGTGTCCTAAATCAATAACAAAAAAAAAATAAAATAAATATTTTTAAAATAAAATTTCCGTATTTCTTTGATTATTTTTATTTTTATCGATATTATTAAATTTATAAATCAAATCGAATATTAAATTTATTTGATTTTTAAAAGGAGATTAAAGCCAATTCTTATATAAATAGTGTTTTTTAAAACATACGAAACTATTTTATTTTGATTTTTGAGGTAATTTTCATATTTATTAACGTAAAATTCATATTATTTTGAGGTGATTTTCATATTTTTTTTTAACGTAAGTAATCTATATTATTTTGAGGTAATTTTCTTATATTTTTTTTTAAAATGATAAATGAATAAAAAAATATATATAAAATAAATGAAAATTA